AAAAAAAAAAAAAAAAAAAAAAAAAAAAAAAAAAAAAAGCCAAACAGCCTTATTGCTGATATGGAGAAAGTTTGAGGGGCCTGCATAGAGGATCAAACCAGCTACAACATTCCCTTAAGCCAAAGCCTAATGTACAGCAAGGTCCTAACTCTCTTCCATTCTGTGAAGGCTAAGAGAGCTGAGGAAGATGCAGAAGAAAAGTCTGAAGCTAGCAGAGGTTGTTTCATGAGATTTCAGGAAGGAAGCCATCTCTAAAACATGAAAGTTCAAGGTGAAGCAGCAAGTGCTGATGTAGAAGTTGCAGCAACTTATCCAGAAGATCTGGCTAAGATTATTGATGAAGGAGCCTGTGTTAAACAACAGATTTTCAATATAGATGAAACAGTCTTGTATTAGAAGACGCCATCTAGAACTTTCATAGCTGGAAAGGAGAAGTCAAAGCCTGGCTTCAAAGTTTCAAAGGACAGGCTGATTCTCTTGTTAAGCCCTTAATGACTAAGCAGCTAGTGACTTTAAGTTAAAGCCAATGCTTATTTACCATTCCAGAAGTCCTAGGGCCTTTGAGAATTATGCTATTCTACTTGGCCTATGCTCTAGAAATTGGACAACAAAGCCTGGATGACAGCATATTTATTTATAGCATGGTTTACTGAATACAGTTGATCCATGAACAATCCAGAGGTTAGGGACACTGACCCCCACCACAGTCAAAATTTGTGGATAACTTTTGACTCCCCTAAACTTAAGTACTAATAGTTTACTGTTGACCAGAAGTCTTACCAATAATGTAAACAGTCGATAATACATATTTTGTATGTTATATGTGTTATATACTGCATTCTTACAACAGAGCAAGCTAGAGAAAATAAAATGTTAGTAAGAACATAATAAGAAAGAGAAAATGTGTTTATTATTCATAAAGATGGAAGTGGATCATCATAAAGGTCTTCATCCTTGTTGTCTTCATGTTAAGTAGGCTGAGGAGGAGGAAGAGGAAAGGTTGATCTTGCTGCCTCAGAGGTGGCAAAGGTGGAAGAGGTGGCAGAGGTGGAAAGTGAGGCAGAAGAGGCAGGCACGCTCAGTGTAACTTTTACTGAAAAAAATCCATGGATAAGTGAACCTGCATAGTTCAAATCTGTGTTGTTCAAGGGCCAGTTGTATATTAAGCCCACTGTTGCGACCTACTGCTCAGAAAAAAAAGATTTCTTTCCAAATATTACCATTTATTGACAGTGTACTTTGACATTCAAGATCTCTGATAGAGATATACAAGGAGATTAATGTTTTTATGTCTGCTAACACAACATCCATTCTGCAGCCCATTGATCAAGGAGTAATTTTGACTTTCAAGTCTTGTAATTTAAGAAATACATTTTGTAAGGCTATAGCTGCCCCAGACAGTGATTCCTCTGATGGACCTGGGCAAAGTAAAATTGAAAATCTTCTGAAAAGGATTCACCATTCTAGATGTCACTAAGGACATTTGTGATTCATGGGAGGAGGTCAAAATATCAACATTAGCAGGAGTTTGGAAGAAGTTGATTCCAACCCTCATGGTTGACATTGAGGAGCTTAAGACTTCAGTGGAAGAAGTAATTGCAGATATGGTAGAAACAGCAAGAAAACTAGAATTAGAAGTGGAACCTGAAGATGTAACTTGAGAAAAGAAAAACAGCTCAGACCAGAAAGACTTACACCTACCCATGCCTGGGGGTAATTGTTGAAAGACATTTGTTTCTGAGCAGCTGCCTCACCCATGATCTTCTTGTTCCTGGAATTTGTGATACAAAGGACAATGTATAGCCAATGAATAGCTTATGTTATTTTAATGTAAATTCTTGGTAAACACCTTTGGAACTTGCTCTTCTTTTTTCCTTTAAAAACCCACTTATACCTGCTGCTAATTAGAGCATATGTTCACGGCAACTTGATTCTATGCTCCTGTGTTGCAATCCTCAAACTTGACCCAAATAAACTCTCTACTTATACTAATTTTGCCTCATTTTTTTCCTCCAGGTTGACATTTTGAATTGCTGCAATTTTATGATAAAACTTGAATGGATGAGGAGCTGCTTATCATGGGTGAGCCAAGAAAGTGTTTTTTCATTTTTTTTTAGATGAAGTTCACTCCTGGTGAAGATGCTGTGACCATTGTTAAAATGACCACAAAGGTTTTAGAATATTACATAAACCTAAAGCAGTGACAGGGTTTGAGAGGATTGTGTCCAATTTTTTTTTTCCATCTGTGGGATATGATGAGGTTTCTCTTCAAATAATCTGATCGATCTTTTATTCTTTAATTCATAGTTACACCCCCGCTTTTTTTTCTCCTTTTTTCTCCTTTTTTCCTTTTTGCCTTTGTTAGGTATACAGACATGCCACAGTACCAATCGTTATCAGTACCAGCTCACATTCCTTTCCTTATTTGGAAAGAGGACTAACTTTCTAGCTCATTA